GCACCCTGGGATCTGGTGGATCCTTGCACGTAATATGACTGATCTGAAGCCTTTCATCTGCCTTCACAGAGCCGAGCTTTTGGATTTAAGGTAGTTTGCCCGGGACCAGGCTTTGCTATGTTGGCCAAGACGGTGCTTTCTCTTGGTCTGTGGCTGCGGTTTGCTGCGGGACAGAGCGCACCTGAGAGAGGTGAGTGCCTGCAAAGGCGAGGCGTTCCCTTACCGCCTTCCCCCATCTCATACCTCCCCGGCCCCACAGCTTCCCCCAAAAGCTTTTCAGAATAAAAGCTGAAGTCCTATTGCTGCTTTAGGTGTATCGCTCTGCTTGTGTGTTACTCTGCTGGCACAAGGACAAGACAAACAAAAAACCTTTCTAAAATTGCCATAATAGAAAAAAAAACCCTGTCTTGCTTTTTTTCCAGTAGCAGAAAGGAAACTGTTTCAGAAACTTGCAGAGTTTAGTGCAATCAGATGGAAAAAATCCTGAGTCCTCGCTGTTACCTAGGTGCTGAGGCACATCGACTAAGAGGAGTAAAACCAGTGGTTGATACTGTACCTGTCTTGTTCTCGTGCTAATCTCGGTAATTCAGCCGTTGTATTTCCTCTTTAAAACACCTTTTCTTGGATGCTGTTCAGGGAAAAGGATTGAGGGTCAGCCTGGCAGAACTGGCGGCGGGGAAAGGGACGCGGAGGAGATGGATGTCTCGATTCTGGTTCCTAGTGCTGGGTCGAAGGCTCAGCCCCCGTCGGGAGGGCGAAGCTGATGCAATTACTTTTGTTCTGCCTTGTGTTCACGCGTAGAAAAGGGTTCTGTTCTCTGCAGAAAGGGCTGCTGCTGGCTGTGTCTGGTTTTCACTGCACCTGGGAAATGTAACCCAGCGTGAACGGAGCAGCGAACCTCTTGTCTGTCTGGACAGGAGGTCCTCAGACTCTGACAGCAGCCCAGACTGCCAGGGTCTGATTCTGCTCCTGGTACACAGAGCTGACTGTGTTTATTGCTCGGGTCCCCTTACAGGGTGCTGGATTCTGTCCCTCAGTGACACAGGCTGTTTTGGGAACGGTCCTGCTGCCTCTGGTGTTGTCACATCGATGTCCACCCAGGCAGCAGTTATCCCGGCTGTCACCCGTTTCGGCTGCCACGGGAGCGTGTGTGGCAGTTCCCCAGACCAGGCTGAAAACAATGCTCACGCCTTCAGAGGATGGGAAGAAGCAAGCTGTGGCTCTCCAGATGGGTTGTGCCTTGCTCCGGAGGCGAAGGCGTGTACGTTGTGTTATCGCCGTGCCGATGGCGGCTTGCACGCTGCCCAGCACCCTGAGAGGAGGTGAACTTGCTGGTGGGCAAGGTGCCTGCTCCGCAGCAGCTTTGATGTGGAGGTCTCTGAGGCTCCTCCCAGGTGCTCCCCAAAGCAACCCTGAGCAAACAGCCAGCCTGGCAGGGCTCCTGGGCAGGGCGAGCTCTTGTCTGGAGGTGCTGTGGTGGTGTGCCACGGTCACCCACCAAGAGGAACTGTTTGAGAGGTCGGGGTGTAGGTTCGTAACTCTGTTTCCTAGGGCCTTGACTGATCGTGAATGATTGTGGCTTTATTCTCAGCTGCGGTGGACAAGGTGAAGAAGCTACTGGGTGGCCAGTGGTGCTTCTACGTGCTCGGGCGTGATTAGCTTTTCCAGGGCAATGGCCATTGACTTAGTGCACAAAGTCGAGACAGAGCATCGCATGACCAGTTCCACCACTGTCCTCTTTGGGTCCAGATTCAGAGCTCTTGCACTACCATGAATAAAGTATGGCCATCTGATAGTTTGGGATTTGATAAATGAAACTTACCTGCTTACTCTGGACTAGCACCAGCAGACAACGATGGGGATGTTGCCATCCCGGTGGGTGCAGCAAGTGAGAAGTAAAGACATGGCCCATCCATCCACACTTTGTAGAAGGCCCTGCCCTTAACGATCTCTGAAACACAGCTCAGTGCCTGGCCTGATTCCATGGTTTCAAGGCTCCTGAGGCTCTCAGTAAAACAGCAGAGATAGTGAAGCTCCTGAAAAGATCATGAGAGGTGGCAACCCAGCTTCCTTCCTGCTGGAGGAGTTTGTCTGAAGGGCCATTTCTCAACCCACAGCCTGTAATCTGTGGCGTGGACGAGCTGGAACCCGCACAGCCTGGGCTTTTAGTCGCACGAGCCTATTTTCTTGGTGGGGTTCAGCTCCTTAAACGGGTGGGTGATCTAGCCATCTGCCACGGCACAGCCTTCTCTCTGACGTGGTTTTAAGTGTAAAACAGCTCCTGCCTGGGTCGGTGGGATGCCTCTCCTCCTGCCTCTCACCGTGATCCCGCGGGGCCGCAGGGAAGCACCGGCTGCGTTCTTCAGCCTCCAAACCTGGCTCTGCTCATAGCAGAACTCCCTTCCTTCCATGGCCAAACAATGAGCAAGGAAGAGAAACATGGAATTTCAAACACAGTTAACCAAGACAGGACACGATCTTTTTTGGCTCTTAAATCCTTTGTGCCCTACAAGTTACCAGCCTCATGTAAATCAGGCATGGGGGGTGTGTTCAGGTCCCAGGGAGCTCTCAAAGCAGATGTCTGCTGCCAGCATCTCGGGGTAAGACAGGGAAGTCTCACCAGCTGTTTTTCTCCTGAAAAAGCCAGGCGTTCAGACGGAGAGCACTGTGACTCCACGGTGACGTTTTGCTCCCGTATCGATCCCTTCGAAACGCTTCTTTGCGTGACTGGTCGGTGTCTGCTGACCCCGCGTGCCGCCACGACGCTGCCGCGTGCTCTCCGCTGTTCCCTAGGCTCGAGGAGAGCACCGGAGCCGCAAGGGTACGAAGTTTGCGGAGTTATTCCTCAGCTCTTCAGAAGCAAAAGCCTGACAAGTTCAGGAGGCAGGGAGGTGCTAATGGATTCCCCTTCTCTCAGAATCCCGCTGGGAGTGAGAAATCTCCAGCTGGGACCCTGCCAAACAGCCCATGGGCTTTTGCCATAAAGCGAGGAAACCGCTTGAAAACAGCAGCTGCTTGCGTAACGCAGGGATTTACTGGTAACGAACCGAACCTCCGCAGCCCCACCTCTGGCGCGGTCGGCGTGTTGATGTTGGATGAGGGACAAAGACCAGGAAGAAAGATGAGGGAATTGAAAAGCTAATCCCGGAGGGAAGGACGACGGGGTCTCCAGTCACTTTGTAAGCGTTGCCACGCTCCTGGCGTAGTGAGATCCTTTGTCTAGATTTTTTTTTAATGGATCCTTTCTGCTGACAAAATCTGAATGGGAGGAGTTTGTTTGTCTTATGTAGGGCCGAGTGCTAAGTAAAGGCAACCATGATGGTATTTGTCTGTATAAAGGATTAGCCTTCTGCTCCCCTCACAGGCAACCCCTTTAGCTCCAAAATACCTGCCCGCCAGTGTCACTGTTGCTTCTGTTAACCAGTTGTTATCAGCCAACATCTTCTACCCTCCAGGCAGAACGTTGTGGTGTCAAGCTGTAGCTCTTCATCCAGAGCCTCCTAATTAATCCAGCGACCTCTGATGGGTCAAACCAGTGTTTAAAGGATGTTCAGGTTATGCCCAGCCCTCTCGCTGCCCCAGAGCTGCAGGGTACGATCAGGAGGGCATCTGACAGGGGCATGGCTCGTGGCTGTCCTTTGATGTTCTTCTCTTCTGAGCAGGTGTCCCACATTGGGTTTCACCCACGTGTTCCCCCACGCAGGTAGCTCCAGCAGCAGTGGGATTTTGCTTGCACCCACTCACTCGTGCTGTGTGCTGAATTCCCCTCGTAAAGTGTGAGCGTACGGGATATTGTTTACCATTTCTGAGCAACGTCCTCTGGCCATTGATCCCTGCCTGGCCAGGGTGAGAAGCTTTCACAGCTGTTTGTTGTAACATTTGGGAAATAAGGGATGCTGCTCAAACTGGTTAGCAGCAGAGGGGAGAAGGAGAAACAATTATTTCCTCCTGGGAGGAGGCAATCCTGTTGCCAAGATCTCTTGCTGTGGCTTGCCAGCCAAGTAAGTGGCTTGTACGTCTTCCAGTGGAGGGGAAAGTACAGAGCTGTGGCTACGTGTGTTTGACGTGCTTCCTGCAGCCAGACGCTCTCAACAAAGCCCTTGTTGCTCTGCCCTGCTGGAATGCCATCAGGAGGTAGGGAGCTCTAGGAACCGGTGGCAGAGACCCGTAGGCCAACAGGTTCAGCTCCGCTGTGTGACGTGGTGATGAAATTCCACGTTGCTGTGGGCACGCAGGAAAGCTTACTGGACTTCACTTTTATTTTCTGCTCAGCTCTGAATGCCAAGCTGCTGGGTGTGTGTGCCTGCAGCCCAGGGCTGAGTCGTGCTGGGTCACGCAGAACTGGTTGTAATCCACGTAGATCGCAGGTCCCACTCCTGCTGCCTCCTGGCACCTCTTGCTTCATCACCTCCAACTAATTTTGATGTTTGCCATTTCTGAAGGCTCCATCTGATTTCTTCTGTCGTTTCATCACAAATCTGGCATGTCTCTGCCCTCCCAGTCAGCACCCACTACGGCAGAGTGGTTCCTGTGCTGCCCTGGTCTCTGTGGCAGCACGTTTACAGACCATGTATGTAAGAACTCCGGCTCTCTTCCGGTGCACACCGACATTGTAACACATGCAATGTGTGGTCCTGACCCACACGTGTCACTTCTGTCCCCCGTCCTGTGGACATTCACCTGTCCCTTTCTCCCACGTACCCCTCCTGTCATTCCTGAGCACGCAGACGTGAACGCTCCCGCCACGGGACAGACCCAGGCACTGATGCCCTGGTTGCACAGGCGAGGCATCTGAACCAGTGAGGGAAATAAATAGCGGGGTAAAGACTGTCCAGATGAAGACTCGAGCCACTTCTCCACCTTGTATTTTCCCCCATGAGCCCCTTGTGTTGTACCCTGAATGGCTGTGCTCTTGCTGGTTCATGATCTTTTCTGTGCCCAGGTCATTAGGTTTCGCTGTCAGGACATGTAGTAGACCCCTTGTACCCACTCACCGTTCCCCTGCCCTGGTCCTTTCCCTCCTCTTGATTTTGCCATCTCATATTTGCCTCTTGAAGCAGCGTCCCAGTCAGGGCTTAGCAACCCCCTGCTCATCTCTGCCAGGCTCGTTGCTGTCTCTGGGCCTGCCTTGACGCAGCTTTCTGCAGGGAGAGAACGGTTTGCATGAGCTGTCTCCTTGGAGCAATTAATTTTACAGCAGCCTTTCCCTTCAGCCGTCTGCTGCCTTGTGGTTTTGGCTCCGGCGCTCGCCCACTGTGTGCTGCGCCAAGGCCCTCTGTGCTCCAGAGCCCACCTTGCTTGGTCGCCCCGCAATGCTGATCCCTCACTGACAGAGGAGCCCAAATGGGCAGGCAGGAACCTCTTGCCCAAGGCTTTTTCCCCTCCTCTTGCACCTCAAAAGCTGCCAGAAAGCAGGGTGGGGGTTAAAAGAATTCCAAACTCGTTAGTGATATTCCAGCTATTGTAAATCTCCCAAGCTCTAAGAGTGGTAGAAGGAGGGGTCCCCTATGCGCTTGTGCTTCCCACACAGCAGTTCAATGGACGTTGTATGAAAATGGGTCAAATGGAGCGGGGCTCCAGCCCACACCCGCACAGGAGCGTGTCCTTCCTCACGTCTGGCATTCTTCTGCACCGATGTGTCTGTGCAGCCCTTCCCCAGACATCATGTCCCAGAGCTGCCTTGAGGTGCTGCTCCCAAGACTGTCTGGGAAAGGAGGTCAGTGTGTGTTCCGAAGAACAAGAAAACGTCAGACTAGCCTGGCTTTTTAAGAGTGATCTAGGGAGGAGTCCCTCCACTCCAGGCTTTCCTGCCAGCAGTGGTATAAATCAGGGAGCTTTCTGCCAGCCTTGCGTGGACCGTAGCTTTTGAACCGAGAGGCAGCCCGTTCTGAGAATCGGCCACCTCTCCTGGGACAGCACAGCCAGCAGTTTTCCTCATCAGGTTTCTTTATCATTCCTTTGTTTTCCAAATGCAGCTCATTTTTCTTCCAGGCGCTGCCATTGTCATAAGATGGGATAAACCTGTGCGTTGGTTTCAGCCCAGAAGTTGCTCCTGACCTTGGCAGCGGCTCACGGTCCTGTGATCGGCGGTTTGCTGCTTCCTCGGGGACGGCTGCGGTGCAGCTCGCGGGGGTTTTCTTCTGCAGCCGTGAGAGCGGGATCCGGGACCTGCGGGTTGTGCTTTTGGCTCTACCCTGATTCCTGTGCCTCCAGCCCCTTCCCACTGCCCCGGCCTTCCAGTGGTTCTGTAGTGGGTGAATAGCCAGCGCCTGTCGTGAGGTTTCGTGAGCCTGTGCGGTGCTGCAGACCCCGCGTGAGCGTAGGGTGGGAGCGCTGGGTGTGCTCGGGAGCCGGAGCTCCCGCTGCTCCTGCGCCGTCGGGTCCAGGGCATCTCCCCCAGCCCGCCCGTGCTGGCTCCCTGCGCTGCTCCAGCCCCCTGACCTTGAGCAGGACCGGAGGAGGAGGAGGAGGTGAGATCAGTGTCCTGGGAAATCGCCTCCCTTCGCTGCTGCAGCGGTGTTTTCTGCTCCCACCTGTTTTGTGTCTTGACTGATTTGGACCAGAGGAATATCAGGCGTCCATCCTGCCCTCATTCCACGAGGAGCTGTATTTTCTCAGGAGTCAGGCTCTAGGCTGAATCCAGGCATATTTCATCCCAGTTTTTCACTCTTTTGGCCTGCCTCTCCTTTTCCGTGACCGGCCTTTTCCCTCTGGGAGACACAAATAGTCCAGCACAGGTCACAACCCTGCTATTGAGTGACTGGGGGTGGGAGGGGGGTCTCATGAACTTTTTTCCTCTTGCTCTTTGTGATTCTGTAATCATCAGTTCAGGTTCTTGGACCTCAGAGGACTTGGGAACCCCTTTTCCATTCACAACAGAAACAGCTTTTTTTGGCAAGCTACTTTAAAACAAAAGATGCTACGAGAGCTGGGTTTGTAAACAGTCAGGGGTGCAGACCTCTGGCTGACACTGCGGTGTCGGCGCCTCAGAGTGCTCGCAGAGAGCCGTTGGGATCAGAGATCAGTCTAAGCTGTCTAATGAGGGAAGACGGGGTGCTAGGGAGATGGGGTGAGAAGTTCCTGGACAGTTGACAGCAGGACTGAGAATAAAGCCCAGGAGCCCTCGCACTAGATGCAAATAATAATAATAAAAAAAAGGGGCAAATCCCGAGGTCTCTACCCCGCAAAATTCTGACTGAATTCTGGGATTTGGCCCAAGATAACCAAGATTTCCTAGCAGATGCCCATGCAGGTACGGGTTCCCATCACTCCACTAACATGTCTCCCTCTCTCTTCCCCTGCTAGGTCCCCAGCCACCGATTTCCAATTCGGAGGGGGATCTCCTCTTTTTGCTGGACAGCTCTGGCAGCGTCTCCTACTATGAGTTTTCCAAGGTCAAGGAATTCATGTGGGACCTTGTGCAACCTTTCACCTTTGGCCCCAAAGATGTCCAGGCCAGCATCATCCACATCAGCACTACGCCCACCATGGAGTTCCCGTTTGACCGGTACCTGTCCAGTGGGACTCTGCAACAAGCCATCCGGGACACTCAGCAGCTCATGGGTGACACCAACACAGGCAAAGCGCTCTCCTACGCCAAGGAGAAGTTCTTCAGCGACGAAGCTGGTGCCCGGCCAGATGTGCCCAAGGTGTTGGTTTGGGTGACAGACGGTTTCTCCACTGATGACATCTCTGAACCCATGCAGCTCCTGAAGGACATGGGAGTGACAGTCTTCATCGTCAGCACTGGACGGGGGAATTACCTGGAACTCTCCGCTGCTGCCAGCCAGCCTCCCGAGAAGCACCTGCATTTTGTGGATGTTGATGACCTACCCATCATCACAAAGGAGCTTCGAGATGCCATCCTAGGTACAGTGGGGTTGGGCTGTGGTCACTGGGAGTTTCCAACAGGGCTGAGTGTGAGTTAATGCCAGGGCCCGCAGTGTGAGAATCCCCTAAAACTAAGAGTCCTCCTGACCCACAGCCACTGCCCTTGCAAACTGGGGTGCGTTGTCCACAATGCTACAGGTCCAAGCATAAACCAAGGCTTTTAGGAGGTCTGGGACAAATATCTCTATTTCGCTTGGAAGGTCCCATGACTGACAGGGACAAATTCCCTTCTGCAGACCTGAGGAGATGAACCTGTGTTTGTAACGAGCTGTTCGGTTGCTAATGAAGGAAGGAGGCTCAGGCAGCATATTGTCTGGATCCCTTAGAAATCCGCAAGCCTTGGAAATGACTCATGCAGGTCGCAGACATCCATGCAACTGAAGCATAGCATGAAAATGCCCCCACCCGCACAGGTTAGTTGTTAACCAAAGGCTTCCTGAGCAGCCGATGGTTTGACTACAGCAAGAGGCTGCTGACTGTGGGAGCAAGGCGCCTAAGCCCCTTGAACTTGATTTTCACATTCAGTGTGATATTTTTTTCTCTAAAATGCTGTCTGGCTATGTGCTACCTGATGGAGGCAGAGGACAGAAATGCGTTGAGCACATCGCATACGCAAAATGGGATGTGTATGCCTGGGAAGGATTTGGTCCTGTCAGCTCCCTCAAACCCTTGTCTAGGGCAGATCTGACTCCTACACGTACCATCGTGTGCAGGCACAGCAGCTGGCACACACCAAGGCATCGAACTCCTGCCTACAAGTGGCTGGCAGTTGCTGTTCGGTTACAAAAAGCAATTAAAGATGGTGCTTGCTATCAGCATTCAGACTGTAGGAGAGGAATGTTTTTGTTCCACAAATCCCCTGTTGTAACGTGTTCCACATCCGCCAGATCTATAGCCCGACTTGGCTAGCACAGCCCTTGGAAGAAAATCCCAGCCCTCACTTGTTAGGCTCAGCAGGCCGACTGCTGCCTCCTCGTTGCTGGCATGGCCGCGGCGGTTGCTGCGCAGAGAGCACGAGCAGACAGCAGATTGGATTTTTCATCAGTCTTGGTTTCCTCAAGCATCCAGGAAAGGGTCTGAGGAGACCCAAAGCCGTAACGTGGGCCAGAAGACAGGCGTTTGGAAGCCAGGAGGAATATCTCATGCTGATCTGCAGGCTGCACCGCGCAATGCACGCTCTTTTTCCAGCTCTTGAAGGCCATCTCGGCGGGAGTGCCTGTGACTGCAAAGCAGGGGCTCTGCCTCAGCCTCCCAGATGCCTCCGGATTTGTTTGGAAAGCTGAGTGAGTTACCATGACTTTGCAGACTTTCCATTCATTTTCTGGAGGTTCTCTCTCCCCATTGCAAATCCTGTTTTAATTCCTCATTTGGCTTCTGCTGCGCGAGTTGGTTAGAGCTGGCTTTGGAGTGTCCAAGTAACCCTTTCCACAGAATCCTCTGTATGCAGCAACTCCTTTCTATTTCCACCCATTTAACACATCGCCCACAGGGACTATCACAGAATCACAGAATGGTAGGGGTTGGAAGGGACCTCTGTGGGTCACCCAGTCCAACCCCCTGCCCAAGCAGGGTCACCTACAGTAGGCTGTAGAGGACCTTGTCCAGGTGGGTCTGGAATATCTCCAGAGAAGGAGACTCCACAGCCTCCCTGGGCAGCCTGGG